GATAATTAAATGAAGTTCGTTTTAAGGGGAGAGTTCAATACGGTTGCCCAATGGTCTCCCTCGATTGGGTGCTTCCAAAAGTTTGCCTTGAGTCCAAAGAACTCCTAGATGAAGCCTCAAGCTATAGTGAAATGCCTAAGTATGAAATCGACCAAGGCCGATTTAGGGGGTTGATCAAAGTCTACCCTAGGGTGGTTTAGTGATAGGGTTTTTGTGGGTGGTCTTCTTCTCTCACTCAGAGGATGGTGTGGGTGCAATTAATTTTGATTTGGTGGAGTTTTGAGGGATGTCCTTTTTCAAGCTTAAATTAGGGTTGAGAAATTGGTTCTAATTAGTGGGGAAGAGATCTGGAGAATGGTTGCATTGCACTCAAGAGGTCTTGTGGAAGCTCTATAAACAATTTGGCGGAGTCTTCCCAAGGAATTTCAAGCTCTCCCCCCTATCTCCCCCCCCTTTCCGTGGAGGGTGATTTTAAATAGAGAGGGGAGGAGAGGCCACCATAGTTGGTCAGTGGGTGAAAAATGATGCTTATGTGGAGGGAAGAAAGGCTCCAATGGCCAATTGGACTTTTGCACATCAGGTGAGTTCAATTTTGAGTTTTAGCTCCTAGCTCCCCCTTGGCCATGGTGTTTTCTGGTGGCCAAGGTGGCTGGTCGGCTAGGATCAGGTCATCATTTGGTCAAGGGGCTCAGGGCTTGGGTTTAGTGCAATCAATTGGGGTTAGCCATGTGTAAAGGTCTTGGATTAAAGAGGAATGAGGGAAGTGTCATTTTGGTTCAAATTGGGTCAAAACATGGATTTGGGTTGGACTCAACCACCAAAGCTGGTTTGGGCTGAAGAGGAGATCATTTGGCTCAGCTTCATCATTGGGGATAAGTCGCCATCCAAAGAATAAGTCACCATCCAAAGAGATTTGGTTAAACATGGGTTAGAGTGTGTCATTAAAAAGGTTAAAACCTTTTTAAGGAGGCGTGAAAGTGGCTTGGCCTCTTGCCATTAATAGCTTGATGAGGTGGCAAGGCTCATATTGCTCACCTATGGCTTGGGAATGACTTCATGGCTTACCTTCTTGGAAATGACTTCATGGCTTCCCTTTGGCTTGGCTCTTTTGCATGAGAAAGAATTTTGAATTTTATGAGATATTTGGTGGAGTTTGTCATGAGGCTTGATTTGGAATGATTTGATCATGGACTTAAGACTTAGAAAGTGATTTTAATGAAATGAATGATAAGGGGAAAAGTGTCATGTGGGTTTTTAATCGAATTTGGGCTTTTGGAATTAAACATGGTGGGCTTGGGCTTTTTTAAAGGTTGAATTTGGGCTAAATTTTTTATCAATTGAATGTTGAATTTGGTCTAGCGAGTTGTCATGAAGAAATTGGAAAGGATTTCAAGTGATTTTGAATTGAATTGAAATGCCAATTTAGTAGATTTAGACATATAGTCAAAATTGGGGCTTTTTATTTGGGTGAAATTGAGCTTGCAATTATATCAAATTGAGCTTGTATTCGGCTTTAATTGGTATTAGGGATTTTAAATTTTGATTTGAAATTGAAATTGGGAAATATTGGGGTCAATTGGGTCAAGATTTGGGGTAATTGGGGAAATTTTGGCCTTTAAGGGTAATTTGTGGCTTTTGGTCAAATTGGGTAAAATTGGACAAATTGGGTCAATCTGATAGTTAAAAATTGAAATTGGAAATATTTGGGATGATTTTGAAATTTTTGAGAATTTTTGGGTTATGAGATACATTTTGGTAATTTTTGACAATTTTGGAGGTATTTTGGAAATTTGGTGATTTTGCTGAATTTTGGTCAATTTAGGTAGTGATGAGTGATTTGAGATGACTTTTGGACAAATTTGGGTGTTTTGGGTAATTTTGGGATTTTTGACAAAAATTAGGATTGTAGGGGTATTTTGATTATTTGGTAATTTTGGGCTAGAATGGGCAAGTAAGCCATGAAGCCATGTCAAACCAATAGGAGCCATGTGAGGACTCATTTTAGATGTTCAATATGCTGGTCCTAACCCTCTTAGCCAAGGATTGGGGGTTTGGGTCCATCCACATGAGCTTCCCAAAAGGAGTTAGGAGACCAAATTAAAGGGGTCTTAGGGTTTGGGGTGTGTAAGAAAGCGTGTGCGAGCTAGTCTAACTAAGACTAGGCCACCCAGGATTAGTCCTAAGGTTTGCCCCTCCTATGGGAAACTCCTTTTGAGCTCCTCCATACTAATCATACCTACTAAGTGCTAAAGGTCAGGACCAACATGTGGAACTTCAAGTTGAGCAAAAAAGAGTTTAAAATTTCTAGTGGTGAGGCTTCATTTTCTAGTCCTCTAGAAATAGTCAACAAGAAAGTTCTATGACTAGACCCTAGGTTACTAAAGAGGAAAAAGCTAGACCTCAACCAAAAATGAGGTCAACAATATGTATTAAGATTTATATGGTAAATATTTGAAGCAGTGTTTCAATCTTCAGTGTTATGGTTTTAAAGGGTTCATTGTATTTGACTTTTATTTTTTACCAACTAGCTCGTATCTAGTTGGGATGTACTTAAAATTTGATATCACATGTGGTAAAAGTTTTATTTTGTATTTTAATTTTAGCTGTTGGGATTTTGCTCTCTTGGTTTATCTGGCTTTTTTAAAATGCTCAGTTAAGAGAGCACTTGTTTGTAGCCTCAGCTAAGAGAGCTTATATTTTTTAGTTAGGAATATTGGTTATTTACTTATATATCACATAATGATCTTGTAATTTACAAGTTTGGAAATGCAATAATTTTTTTTTTCTTTTTTGGATTATATTTTTTCTTTTGAGGATTCCGCCGACCTGCTTGGGCAGTGAGAGTTATCGATTTGAATGTTGGAAGCCTAATGGCTAATTCCAACAACAGTGATGGTTGTTTAATTACGAATTGCAGTTTTACAAGCATATCACACAATCTCTATGTATTCTTAATGAGTTCTTCTTGTAAAATGCTTTGTGGTTTCAACACTTGTTTGAATATCATTTAATTGGTGTTATAAATGCAAGGAAGGTTTTGATTGCTACTTGATATCACCTATTTTTGGGTAGAAATTTGAAGCAATGCTTGAAGTTTGGAGTTGGATTTGTCTGCAAAGAAGGTTTTGTTTGTTGCACATACAAATTTCTGATCTGGCTTTACGTACTAGTGCAGCTTTTGTATTTTGGTTGATACCTCTTTAAGGGGTTATGATGAGTCATTTGACCCAAGGGGTTCTTTGGGATGGCCTTCTTCATTTTATTGACAACCAAGATCCCATGAATTATGGATCTATTACTCTCTTATGATGACAGATTTTTCAGCTCCATGTGTTGACTCTGAATCCCTCAGATTGGCCTTTGGCCTTCTCCATTTTAACAGACTATTACAGGTGTTAGATATGCAACTCTCCTTATTATAACTTCTTTTTTTCTGAACATATCTGAAGTTTTAGTTCTAGCTTACTTTGATGTTCTAAAGTTCCTTAAGTAGGGAATACATTGTGCTCTTTGCTCTGGACTCCTTTATTTTACTTATTGTCAATGCATTGCATTGTTTGCTACTCATGGAGGGAAAGCATTGACTGAAAATTTGGTTGAATAAACATTAGCATTTTTGCATCATATGGCAGCAACACTGATTGTTGTGACCTACAATTGTATGTTTCCAATTGGTTAGTATGGATTATCCTTATTAATAGTAAGCGGTATTTTTAATGTAGATGTTTAATGGGAATGACAATGTTTGTACTCTTTCGCTTATTCAATATATAAGAATTATGTGCTAGGCATATAAATTTCTCTTGTTGTTTCTATGTACAAGATTACAATATCGAACATGAGCTCAAGCAATTCAATAGCTCTAGGGGGATCAAACATTGGCCTGATTTTTTGTGATTTCACGACTTAGAGAGATGACAATGAGGGATGAAAATTTTACAAATGTCTAAAAAATTTAACGAACAGAGTTTGCAAATTTTTTCACTAGATTGATGAACAGAAGGACACAATAGAGGGGCTTCTTGACGAAAAAAATATATGCATTTGATGATACAATGAAAATGATGTCAAAAAGTTGAAGTTTCTCGTGAAGACTTTACATTTATTTGATTATGTAATTATAGTGTTTTTATTGTTGTTGTCGTTGTATCAGTTTTAGAGATGTTTATGTATTTTGAAGAACAAACTACAAACTATTTGGTTTTTGTTTTTTAAGCAAACTTCTCTTTTTGGCTAATATTATATGAATTTCAGACTTTAATTATGCAAATCAAGAACTAGGACAATTTGATCCATCAAAATATCTTGTCATTATGAATTTCAACATAATTTGATGATTTATTATTATTCAATTAATGTTCACTTTAATTTACCTTATGTTATTGTGAATATATTTTTTTTTTTTTTTGATATTATATATATTATGAATTCAGACTTTCATTATGCATGACCATTTGATCTATCATAATCCCCTATCATTATGAATTTGATAATTTCTTTTGATTTAATTAATATTCACCTTAATTTATGTTATGCTATATTGTAAATGAAAAGAACTTAACAATTCTCATTGAATTTATTTCATAAATAACACTTTCAGAACTATATTTTTCAAACAGTTCAAACTAAACTATATTTATATATCGAAGACATTATAGTCATTATGTCAACAACAGTGTTTTTAGAGTTGTTTCTCAAACATATAAACTATTTCTGAAACACCAGCTTCTCAACAACAATTTTTCAAACCAACTTTTCTACATCCACAACAAAAATAAATGCACCTTAAAAAAATAGAAGTTTATGGGAGCCAACTTCGCAATATCTATGTAAAAAAAAATAACAAAAGAAGAAAAGATACACAATTTAAGAAGTCATTCTAGTTCTAAATTTAAATTAT